TCCGGGTCTAACAGAATGTCTTCCCATCTACCCCACCTTGTGTTAGTAGCCTTGGTACTTTCTATTGTCCCTTTTCTGAGATACTTGTGCACTTGGCTTTGTGTCACTACTCTAATAGGCTGCCCCTGGGCCAAATCTTTTAATGTCCCCCAGTATCTAGCAAGCACTGCTAGCTCTTTTTCTTCTTGAGGAAACTTTTTCTCTACTGAAGTCAAGGTGTAACTCCATAGAGTAACTAATCCACCGTTTTCGTTCTTCACGGCTATCATGGCATCATCACTGTCGCAGCTGACTTCAGCTATGAGTTTTGTCATTAGGCTTCTTGGTTCCAGCCTTACTGCTTCCTGAATCTTTTTCCTAAGCTCTTCTAAGTCCTGTTGATTTTCTGCTGTCCAGACCCATAATTTCTTACTGTTCAACTGACTGTCATTTTCTTTTTTCTTTAGGCAGGCATACAGTGGTTTGGCGTATCTCTGATAGTTAGGGACATGATCTCTCACATAGTTACACAGTCCTAAGATCTTCTGTAGGTCGTTCTCTGACTCAGGAGGCTGAATTTGTTCGAGTTTCTCCCTATACCCTTCTGAGAGTCCTAGGTCTGCTGTCACTTGAAACCCTAAATAATTAACTTGGAACTGTCCAAGCTGGCATTTTTTCAAATTCAGTTTCAACCCTGCTTCTGTGACTCGCTGCACCACTTTAGCTAACCTCTCCAGGTGCTCTTCCTCCGTGTCATCTGCGATAAACACATCGTCGATGTAAATTGTGGCGCCTAAGTCTTTGAGCACGTCCATCACGACCGACTGAAATACATTAGGAGAGTTTTTATATCCCTGCGGTAGCCGCTGCCAAACATAGCTCTTTCCCTGGTGGGTAAAAGCTGTCTTTCCCTGTGACTGTTTTGCCAGCCTAAGAGAGAAAAATCCGTTTGCTAAATCAATGCAAGATTTGTACTTTTTCACTTGTAGAGTTTTTAGGGTGCCCTGCGGGTTGATTAGACTCGCTCTGTTGGCTACCGTTCGTCTGTTGAGGGCTTTGAAATTAATCACTGGTCGCCACCCTCCTCCTGCTGATTCGGGCTTCTTAACTGCTTGGATCGGGCTGTTAGTTATGGGGTTTGTTTCTTCTCTAATAATTCCTAACGCTCCTAATTCTTTCACAATTTTGTTCATTTCTTCAACTGCTCCTGGATTTAGAGGATACTGTCTTACGGGTGGGTGTACTCCTCCTTCGATTATATGTACAAACTTTGGGCCTAGATCCCCGCAATCATTTTTAAATCTGGCTATTGAGGCTTTCTCTAATATTTGTTTTAACTTCTCTTTCCCAGCCGGGGAGAAGTCACTCTCATCTATTTTTTGCTTTGTTACTTCAGGGATATTTACAGGTTTATACCAGTCTTCGGACTCACTTTGTTTGTGTGTGAACCCTATTTTTACTAGCCTAGATTTTAACTTCTCTAACCTTCTATTTAAGGCTCTCCGATTCTTTTTTGGTTTCTTTAGTTCTTTCAGATCGGTAATTGTCATAAGGTTATAAGGCCCTTTTATCCACACAATTCCTTGCCATAACCCGTAAGGCATTGTTTCAATTTTTCCGTTTGCTAACTGAACTGTCAGGTGTCCTACTGTTTTTAGGTTTTTGCGGGTCATAGACACCTCAGCTCCGGAATCTATCAGGTAAGGTTCTCCCTCTACTTTAGTGTAGATTTCGTCCCCCTCCCAATAGGCATCTTCCAGAGTGACCCGCAACCTTTCTGCCATTATTTAGCTGGCCCTCCACTCCCTTTCTCACGGGATTCATGGAGGGCTCTTTTTTCTTCTGGGGTCAGTTTTGCATATTCTTCCGGGGGTAGGTATTTACCTCCTTTCTGTGGTGTGGAGATTGAGGCTGGAGCTGAAAATCGTTTTGGTTGTTGGTTCCTATATTGTGGTTCTGACTGCCTTGGTGGTCTCTCTCTGTACTGTGTCCCTTGCTGTCTCGGGGGCTGTTCTCTGTATTGTGGCTGTTGAGGGGCCTTTTGTGTCGGCTTTGGTGGTTTTTGACTTTGCCTGCTCTCACTTTTCTTCTTTTCTTCCCAGAACAGCTGCTCTAAGTCATACGATTTTACTGCCTGGTCTATCTGGGCGTCATTAGTTTCATGAGGCATTCTGGCAAAGGTGAGCTCTCCCCTTCTTCCCTTAGATACGATCCTTAAGGCTTTAACATACCTTTTAGGGGGAATTACTTGTTTAAGTTGATACCAAACCGGGGTAAGGCGTTGGCCTTGATCCATGCGCATCCTAGCCCGCTGAATGTGAGAATCTTCGTCATCCATATCTTCCAGGACTAGTTTCTCATA